CAAGTTTAAGAAATCCTTATATAGCTTGAAGCAGTCCGCTTGAGCATAGTTTGGAGGATTCACAAAATCTATGAAAGCATTTGGTTACAGACAAAGTAACTCTGATCATGCTTTTTTCCTGAAAAGACAGAATGGGAAGCTTACTGCACTTATTGTGTATGTAGATGATATGGTGGTAACAAGTCATGATCCAGAAGAACATGTGGCCTTGCAAAGATACATGTCTACAGAATTTGAAGTGAATGACCATGGATCCCTGAAATATTTTTTAGGGATTGAGGTATCGAGAAGCAGTTCTGGAATTTTCTTATCTCAGATAAAGTATATTATTGATTTGTTGTACGAAATTGGCATGTTAACTTGTCATCCAGTAGCTACACCATTAGAAGAAAGATTGATGCTTAGTGTTGATCCTAATCAAGTACCAGTTGACAAAGGAAGATACCAAAGGTTAGTAGGTCGTTTGATGTATTTGGCACACACAAGACCAGACCTTGCGTATGCCTTGAGTGTAGTGAGTCAATACATGCATGATCCTAGAGAACAACACATGAATGCCGTGATGAGAATATTGCAATATTGAATGGAAGTCCAGGCAAAGGAATTTTGTTTAAAAGGAATTACCTTAGTGTTGAAGGTTATACTGATGCAAACTAGGCAGGTTCGATTGACGATAGGCTCTCAACATCAGGTTACTTTACATTTGTTGGGGAAAACATGGTTACATGGAGAAGTAAGAAACAAAATGTGGTTGCCCGTTCCAGTGCAGAAGCTAAATACAGATGTATGGCTTTGGGGATTTGTGAAATTTTGTGGCTTAAGCTTCTGCCAAGCTGTGATGACCTGTATTTTCAAAACCTTTGCCTATTTTTTTTTAATGTATTATTTATATTTACTTACAGTTTTATTATTTGAGCAAGTAATATCTATAGTTATTTATTTATTTGAACCTACAACATTTTCTCACCTATCTTCACTGCCTGTATCGTATCTCATTTTTCCATCTCATAGCTTACACTTGTCAAGTTATTGCTTCTAACGTGGCATGACCATGTTCATAGTAATCTATAGTAATTTTAGAATTTCATTTTGAGGTGCTTGTAAGCATGCTTATTTACACCTCCTCCTTTGTTTCGATAACCAAGATAAGAGCCATCCTCTATGTCTATCTATAAATATGTATTCTATTAATATAGTTTACTTCTTGGTTAAGTTTTCTTGACCACTACGTTTGGGTAGCCGCCTCATACTCCTATAAATAGGAGCAAAGGCTCCATTCTTTTGAAACCACAGAAGCATGCAATGCATGCATTACGTAGGGGTGATGTACATATAGTATATATCTATGTATACATATATATGTACGTGTGTGTGTGTATATATTATATATGTATAGAGAGAGATAGCGAGCTAGGGTTAGAGAGTTTGAGGTGTGTGGAAATGTTAGTTGGGTTGTCTTGCCAAAGCTTGGATTATCAAGGTGAGTGGTTTATGTAATGTGTTTCAAAGTATTCTTATTTTCTAATAAATGAAAACCACGAACTATTGTGGGTTTTATCTATTTATAAATCTCTATCTATTTTAAGTCAAGCATGTTGGATTTGTTGAAATGATTTTGGAATTATTAATATGGTGATATGTGGATTAATTGGATATGTTCATGGAGCATGAGAACTTTAGTGTTGCATTAATCCGAGGGATAAATGTAAACTGCACATGGGGACTTTAGGGCAAAATGGCCAGTAAGGGTCACGTGGTGTGTTACAATTTTTGAAGGATGTAATGAACACATAAAGGGATGATGTGTTATGGAATGATGTGGCTAAAGCTTTGATATTATTATTCTATTTTATAGTGTGATTAAAATGGCAAGCTTGACTGGCATATTATATATTCTACTCACTGAGCGACGGTGGTTGTTGCTCACCCCTCACCTATTATTTTACAGTTGGGTTATTTGGCAAGACAGGTGTTGGAAGAGCTGAGGTTGTGATTGAGGAGAAGTTTAAGGATTTTTATTTATTATTTTTGTACACCCTGTAAGGATTTTGAAGTTATATTTAATAAGAGGAGTTTATATTTTCCAACCCGTGTCAATTTCTTTTTATTTATTTTTACTTTACTCGCGTTTCGGGCGCGGGGTCTTATTTTTCCCCTGACCCTGGGTCCAGGGCATGACACAAGCGATTTGGGTATACAACATGATAAGCCCATGAAATTATTTTGTGATAATAAAGCTGCTCGTGATATTGCACAGAATCCAGTACAACATAATAGAACAAAGCATGTTGAAGTTGACCGGTTCTTCATCAAAGAAAAATTGGAAGGAAAAATAATTGAATTACTGGCAATAAGAACAAAAGATCAGTTGGCATATCCTCACAAAAGCTGTTTCAAGTCACAAGTTTTCAAGTTTCTTGAACAAGTTGGGCATGAGCGACATATATGCACCAACTTGAGGGAGAGTGTTGACTTTTGTATTTTAGGTAGGATCCCTAATTGATATGTAATCGTGTGTATTCTCATGTAATCACTTGTAATTAATTCTCTTTCCATTTTGTTAGGGATGTACACCTTTAAATACCTCTTATTGAGAAGAATATATCACAATTCAAAGCATTCTCTTATGAGGTATGATCGCCTAAGGAGTGTAGCTGGTAGAATTCAGACTGTTGTTGGTGATATAGCTACCCAAGGGGAACGGTTTCAGGCATTGTCAAGCTGACGCGATCCACGCGCTTCAGCACTTTTTGTCACATTCTGCCTCATGCCGCCTTGGTGATGTACGTTACACCGTCCCAGGTAGTGGCAGCATTGGCCGGGTTCTTTATGATGAAGCATCCGAGGTTTCGCCATAGGCTACCATCCGCACCCATCAACTTCTTCCGCAGGCTGCCTTCAAGGACCGACAGTATGTTGTAAACTAAAGCTCAAATGTTTCTTGCTGCTGGGATCATTTTACTGACTTAATATTTGTTGACATTGTTGTTCTTCTTCCTGTTTCTTGCTTCCTTTGGGCCGCTAGTGGGATGATATAGGAACATGAATAAGTAAAATAATTTTTTCAAGAAAATTCTTGATTTCTCTATTATTTGTATGCTAAAAACTCACGATAATATAATTTTTCGATCACATTGTAAATCACATCTTTGAAAGAACTGAATTCACCATGATCGTTAGTTCTGCCTTTATAAAGGTTGTGTTCAATAAGTACAGTACATCTTCTTTATACCACATGCTAATATTATTTTTTATTACATTGTAAATCATATCTCTGAATGAGTTGAGTACACCGTCGTTGTTAGTTTATTATGAAATTAGCAACTTAAATTTTAAGCTACTAATTACACGTTTTAAATTCGCAAGTGCACAATACTAGACACATAGTATAGAAAGCAAGTAAGAGATCATTCCCACGAGGATTGCACTAATATGTATCTAGATTATGATTCCTAAAACAATTTAAATTAATTCTTTTACAAAAGTATAAAAACACAATATAAATAAAAGTAATTGGCAATAAGGGTTTTGAAAGATGTTTGAACGGCTAGGAAGCTTTTTTGCCTAAGTAATCGATACACAAGTTAGATGCTTAACGTTTGCCAACCTAAAGGCATGGTATCTACTTTTTAAGTTGTTGATTTCCCAAAAACAAATTAGGTATGGGTGTCTATTCTTAACTCTTTTTGTTCTCGAAGTATTTAGCATGGTATCTATTAAGTTACACTCTGAGAAAGCATAATACAATGGAAATCGACAAACACGTGAATCTGTCTATTCCGGTTATTCATGGTAGTTAATTCCAAGAACAGTAACTAGTTCTCTTGTTACTTAGCATAGGTACAAGACTTGTTCATCCAAATTTACCTATAGAACGAACTCAATTATAAAGTTATTCTATAGTGATCAAGCATAAAAATAACTCGATAAGGTTGGAATTAAAATAGAAATTAACCATTAAAGTATCAACAAATTGTCTTGTCACAAAATTGTATCAAAAATAAAAAGGAAAATAAGAAACTCTTTGATAACGAATTGCAGAATGGTGCTCTGGTCCTTCCTCTTCCTCCCTTGTGCCGTGGGTTGTACCTTCTCTGTTTTGGTGACTGCTGCTACCTTCCTTTATTTTTTTTCTTTCTAAATCTGTTTTTGCACGCTGCCTTGCTGCTGCGCTGATCAGGGATAAAGCCTACCTTTTCATTTGTCACAGCCCAAGGCTTGAATAGCCTATTTTAACCTTCTTTAATCTACCCCGTTGACACACATTTGTACAAAACTTTGTATTCGGGCATAGCCCAACCTTCATGTACTAAAACTGCCATAACTGCCTCTAGAAAAATAATATTCACGAACCGTGAAATTCTACGAAAAATAGACATCCATAGATTTCCAAGAATATGTGGCACATCTCTTTGTTCTTCTCGAGTCAATACAGTTTAATCCACGAACTTGACTGATCTGCAGAGGCTGTGCTGACGACATGGAATTGCAAACCCTTTTTAGTCTCAATACTTTCTTTTTAGCTCTTTTTCCACTCTTTACTTGTTACAACCTACAAAACATAAATAGAATGTAAAAACCTATATAAAAGAGTAAAATAAAAATGTAAACAAGAATAATTAATATGTATATAATAGCAAATTTACGAGCATAAAGTAGTCCCGCCCTTATGAAGGTTGTCTTCGATAAGTACGGTACATCTTTATACGTTGACATCACAGTTTGTTTCCCTATGCATGCAAGTAGATCTGTCGTTAGGTCATCTCCTAAACTTTTCTTGCAATATAATCATTGAGATTTATAGTCAAATGCAAACCTTAATATTTTATTTAATTAGGAAAAACAATGACAGATACAAAGAATTAAGTATTAGAAAACGAATCATTGCATTCCAACGTGCAATCAAATCAGAAGCTACTTCTCAAACGTGCTTCCATGATCAAAATTATTGAAAGAGCACAACCCAACCTTTCCCTTGCAAGAACTTAAAACCAGAGGCAGGGCAATGTGCACACAAGCTTTCTCAAAATGGTCGGTGCTTCCATGGCGAAAAGAAAACCCAAAGTCCCCAAGCAACCACCCCCGAAAGAATCCTGTAGCTGTTTCAATTTTCTGCTCAAATTCATCTATCGAGCCCCGGCTGCAGTTTTCTTTCTCTTTCTTATCTACCTCTGGTCTTCCTCCACCACCATTATCTCCGGCAACGTTGTCCACGTTTGTGTTTCCTCCCGGAAGCTCAATGACCATTACTGCCTTTCTGCTGGTAAAACCCAACCCAAGTTTGAAATCCCAATTCCTGTCATCAATCATAGTTCCATTTACCTCCACACTCTTGATAAGAGTTCAAACATCCCTCTTCCCTTATCGCTTCCTTTGTACCACGGCAATGGTTCCACTAGTCCTTCTCAACCGACTGTCAACGGCGAGAAGGTGAGAGAGACCGCTGAAGTTATCCGAGCTGAGTCTGATCCGATAATTATGAGGAATGGTGAGAACAAAGACCGAGAGGAGGAAGTTGTGAACGCAAAGAAGGAAGTTGAAGAACAGATGCAACTGCACAGATCATGGATTTCGGATAAGAAGCAAGCCGGGTGCGAAGGGAGGGGAGTTTATGTGTATAACTTACCATCCAAGTTTAATTTTGACTTGATTGGTCAGTGCAGAGACATGATTACATGGTTGGACTTCTGCAAGTACTTAAAAAATGAAGCCATGGGAGAACCGATTCCAAAATTTGGAAATGGTTGGTACCAAACACATCAGCACTCATTGGAGCCAATTTTTCATCAGAGGGTTATGAAGCATCCTTGCAGGGTTTACAATGAGGATGAAGCCAAGCTTTTCTACATTCCATTTTACGGCGGTTTGGATATTCTAAGATGGCATTTCAAGAACGTCTCCAGCGACGTGAAAGACACGTTGAGTTTGGAGCTCATTACATGGCTTCGGAAGCAAAGGTCATGGACTAAAAATTCTGGCAAGGATCATGTCATTGTGTTGGGAAAAATTTCATGGGATTTTCGGAGAAAGGACCGCTCTTGGGGAACTAGATTCTTGGAGATTGATCAAATGAAAAACCCTGTCAAGCTTTTGATTGAGAGGCAGCCATGGCAGCCAAATGACATAGGAATTCCACACCCAACATACTTCCATCCAAGCTCAGATGAGGACATCATGGCATGGCAATGGAAGATCATAAGCTCACACCGAAAACAGTTAGTGAGCTTTGCTGGTGCAGCAAGGCCTGGTCAAGCTAAGAGCATAAGGTCTATATTAATTAAACAGTGCAGTTCTTCTTCCGAATATGGAAACCAATGCCGGTTTGTTGACTGTAGTTTGGGCGGATGTGATCAGCCAGAGCCAGTCATTGAGCTCTTCATGGAGTCTGAGTTCTGCCTGCAGCCTCCAGGGGACAGCCCTACTAGAAAATCCTTATTTGACTCATTGATTTCGGGCTGCATTCCAGTGCTTTTCGATCCCTTTACCGCTTATTACCAGTATTCATGGCATTTGCCGGAGGATCACGGAAAGTATTCTGTATTTGTGGACCAAGAGGAAGTGAGGGGGATGAAGGTGAATGTGTTTGATACGCTGAAGAAGATTTCAAAGGAGAAGAGAGATGATATGAGGAGGTTTATAGTGTATGAGTTGTTGCCGGGTTTGGTGTATGGGGATTCAAATGCAAAATTTGAAATCTTTGAGGATGCATTTTCCATCACAATGACTAATCTCATGGAGAGGGTGACCAAATTGAAATCAAATGTGTAGTTTGAGGATACATATTTTATTTAATTTTTTGTCTGTTCTTTCTTTCTTCCTTTTTTTTTCTATTTGGTCTCACCTTTGAATTTGTAAACAATGCATTGTGGGGAGGGAAATGAAAATTTGAGGAGCACAAAAACAGTTCATATTGTTTTATTTAACTTTGTAATTATTGGCACATACATTTTTTTTTTAATGAAAACGCATTTCATTAGAAGTAATTACAATAGGGTTTACTTTTAATAATTAATACTTACTTAGTTACTTGTATATTGACACAACACTTTTTAAACATTTCAATGAGAGACAAAAGTTAATACATGTGAAAGATGACAACATTGACTTTTTTTTCCTCTGAAGTGTAAGTTACAAAATTACCCTTTCTAGTGGAAAAGTCATTTTCACACTTCTATCTCTTCATATGTTGCTCCCTTCTCTCTCCTTCTCTCTTCAATAAATATTGGTTTCATTTAATTATTCCAATGAATGAATGAAGTTGTGGATCTACGACCTCTACCCAACTTACCATCCCATTCTCAAGTCATAAACGGCAAGTGTTGCGGTTTTGATGTTTGTTTGTAGTAGAGATAAAGTTCCACTCTGGCCTGTAATTTTAATTGCCACAATTTTAGTCTGGAAGTTTACTACATGTTGAAATTTAAGTAAAAGGGGCTTGGATTCATCAAAGATTTTTCTTTTGAGGACATAAGTGGAAGATGGAGTTTGTGGAATTGTACAACATCTCCCACATTGCATTCACGGTACTATTTTAATTGGGCAAAAAATTCAAGGAAACAAGCCATTGTTCTTGAATTGCAATAGCTAATAGTCTACAAAGTTAAATTACGACAATTGAAAGTATACCACCTAAAGTCAAATTTTACCAAACTACAGGGACTAAAACTATAATTTGGCCCTTTTCTTTTTCTCGTGACATATTAAGATTATGGTTCATATTAAAGAAAATGACTTACATGGGATAGTTACTGTCATTGTAGGGTCTCGGGCCAAAATATCATGTCATATATAAGTTTTTCTCCATATGACATGAAATTATTAAACCGAAACGCTACATCGCGGTAAGCTTGGTCCGTAGAAATTGTTCTCCATGTATCTTATGTTTGATAGAATCATAACGGGAAGAAATGAACCCTTTCCCTAACATTGTTCCCTCTCCAAAATCATGTCGATATTATGTTGTTATAAACTAATTCTACTAAAAATATACAAACTGGTAGTACTAAAAAAAGTATACAAACCTGATTCTGGATGTATTCGAAACTAATTATGAAAAAATGCTCGAAAACGGGTTGAATTGATTCTGAAAAATGGTCGAAGACTGATTGAACTGATTGTAGAAAAATGGTCGATGACAAGTTGAATTGATTCTAGTAATAAATGATACAAACTAATTCTACTTATAGTTTCAAAACTGATTCTACAGAAATAGTCGAGGATGGGTTGAGCTTATGGCACATATTAATTTTGTTTAAATTGTGAGGGTTGTGTTCTATTGAGGGCTTTAAAGCCTTAGGGGTATAGTTGGTATTTTAAAAAATTGTTTCTATGTTTTTTGACTGAGCTTTAGTTGTTTTTATGTTTTTGTCTCTCCTTAACATATTTAAAAACTAGTGCAGTACCTTGATATATAATGAAAGTTTTTATCTCTATATATAAAGCTCATTTTCATTTAACAACTTAAAAGGGCCCAAATACAAATAAGAAAAAGAAAGATATACCAATTCAAAACCAAGTTTGAAGTCCAAAATACATGAAGCTCTAACATCAAACCCTACACCGACACAAATGTCGTCGTTGCCACTATTGCTGTAAAAAAAAACAACGCCGTCATCGTTGAAACAAGTCAGAAGAAACAGAAAAAGTGATTATATAAAAATGGGGACATAGTCACGCATATAATCAGTCGACAAGTGGATACAATACTATTTAGGATCCCAAATCCGTCAAGCAATGAATTTGCAGCACACCAAGAAATGTCTAAGATAGCTATAAGGAAGAGAGGGCGCGAGGTGGAAAGATCTGTAGCAAAAGGAAGTTTTGACATACAAGAGAGTGATTGAGCATGAGATTTGGGGCAAGACAGGAGTGCAAAATTAGATATGATAGCAGGATGGTGAGTATGGGTGAGCGCAAGCCAGAGCTAGTTGGGGATGGAGGGTTCGTCCGAGTCTGTGACATCTTGTGCTGCCAAAGTGAAGAGATTGTCCGAGTCTGTAACATCTTGTGCAGCCAAAGTGAACTCGACTTCCTCTAGTGCTTGTGCTTTGATAGAAGTCTTGAGGCAGTAAATGGTTTCATGTTGTCCTAACTCAATGGTCCACTTGGTAACTCTGGATGATGCATCACGGTTGTGCAAGATGGATTGAAGTAGGTACTCCGTCATGTAGATTTCTCTGAACGATTGGAAGTATGGTCGAAGCTTTATGGCCAGAGTCACTAGTGCAAGGATGAATTTTTCCATTTTCTTGGTATCTTGTCTCTGGTTCGAGAAGAGCTTTTAACATGTAGTACACAGGTTTCTGCTCCCTAGAGTCTTCTCGAATAAGAGTCGCGCTCACTGCGCAGTCTAATACTGCCAGGTATAGGTACAAATCTTCTCCACAGGGTTTGGATAGGTACTTGTTTAGCTTTGTAAAGGCATCTTCACACTCATTTGTCCAAAGAGGCCTTTACTCTTTTCTATCGCGGTGAAGAATGGTTTGCACTTATCGATGGATCTTGAGAAGAACCTGATGTGGGTCGTGTTTTTCGACAAAGGTGTCTCGACTGTGGATCGAGTTTCAAAGTTCGAATCCTTAGCAAGATTCGTCTGGAATCTTATCTTTCCATGATGAAAACGTTTCCTCGAAGATGAAAGATGACTTGTAGGTCGTCAGAGGAAGTTGATGAGTCATCAGGGAGCTCGGTGGCGCAGCTCCAGTGTGAGCTGCATGCTCAAGCGCTGGATCTTAAATCAAGACATAGCCTACAATTTTCATGTTGCAAGGCCCATCACAACTCCCCTTTTTTCTATGTTTTTTCTTTCCTTTTTTGTCTGTTTATTCACACATATTCAATTTACACAATTTACATGGTATACAACCACTTAGTTCCACCACCTAGTGATATTTCTCTTCACTTGTAAGTAAGAGGTCTTAGGTCTGATTCTCGTCAAAGTTGAATTAGAACCACATTATTGCTAGTCTATTATGAAGTTTAACCTACTCCCCCACTCCTTATTGTAGATAATATTAGTTGTTAAAAAAACAAATTACATAATATACAATTTATGCTATGATTAAAAGAAAACACAACTTTAGCATAATTAGAAATAATGATTCAACTAAACAAAACAAGTAAATGAGAAAATTCAAGATAAAATAAATGATTGAAGAAAAATAAAGGGGTTTCTCCATTTTAATCCTTGATAAAGATTGAAATTCAATTAAAACCTTATGTTAGATTATATATTCATTATAGTCCTTTGACTAAATTTCCATGTTAGCATAAATATTAAAATTTATATTTTCTTGTTTTTAAATATTTAATGCGTTTTTTTGGTTCCTATAATGCCCCTATTAAATATTTGATTTTAATTTGCTCCATATTTTTTGGCATTGATTATTGTCTGACTTTCTAAAATGATAAACATAATTCAAAAAAATATTAGTGATACGTTACAAGAATTAACAAATACCTAATTCAAATTATTCATTATCACCATTCAAAGCATAGAGGAAATATAAATAGCCAAATCATATATTTTACATAATCGAATGCACTTAAACCATGTCCTAATGTGCTTAAATCATATAACCTAGTCGAATACACATAAATCATAGTACCAAGTCAAATGCACCTAAACCATGGTACTTATATGAATGTACCTAAACCATGGTACCTATATGAATGCACCTAAATCATGGTACCTATATGAATGCACCTAAATCATAGTACCTATATGAATGCACCTTAATCATTTAGGTACTATCAATTAGGTCTTATCCATTCGGTATGGTCGGTTAGGTACTATATAGTGTATGTCCGATTAATTTGGTACGGTCAATTAAGTTGTGATTTCACATTCTATTTTCTCAATTTGTATTTTTTTTTCATTTATCTCTAGATTCACCGTCAATTTGGCATCTAAAAGCCCATTTTTTCTTCTTTCTTCCGAATACAACGAGATTTTTGGTTTGTAAGTTTTATGGCTTTTTTTGTTTGATCATGGTTTCTGAGTTTTCTGGGTTCTTTGATTGGAATAACACATGGAGATTTATATTATAACAAACATGTTAATTATTGATCTAGTTAATTAAGCATTCTTGAAAATTAATTATATATTTGTTTCTCTAATTGGTTTTAAGAGAGTAATAAGGGTAAATAGGAAAACTAAAAATGCAATAAATTCATTAAAAAATGATTAAATGTGACATGGAATACTATAATCTGACATGGAGGACTATTTTTAGTTTTTAATCTTACATACGGTATTATTGAAAAAGCAATCTTATTTAGGGATTAAAATGAAGTTTTCTAAAAAATTAAATTGACAATATGCTAGAGTTCGACCTTTACCAACAACACTCCTACGTAACTCTTCCAACTGCTTAAGTAATCGAAAACACATATACTTTGAAGGTTGGATTTTCCTTTTGTATGTTTTACTTGTGACATTCAAGCTAAAACGCATACCACTACATGCAACTTATCCATGACATTTGGATTAAATATAAACATGAGTGATTCATTAATCTTGGTGAAAATCCTTTTGTCAAACCATGTAATCCCTAAGAGCATGATATTTACCTTAGGAGAGTACAATCCTCCATCACAAGAAGCCCAACCAATTTTAACGTGACATTCGTTCAAAATTGCATCCGATAACTTTTCTAAGCATCCTAATGGTACATAGATAGTTTAATTCAGTAATTGAAAATATCAAAGCAAGCATATAACAACACTTAAGCAATTGAAAGATAAATCTACGTATTTATGTTGCGGCTCATGGCCTCACTCTAGCAAAAGGAAATTAGTTACACATAATTATTTGAATACATAAGAAATTATCCATGAATAATCAAAGAAAGAGACAACCCTTTTTTTACAAAGAAGCTATCTGCCCTTCTCCTCCTTCCATGTGGAGCTGCGACATCCCTTCTGCTTTCTGCTATGTTGCTCGCTGCCACCTCTCCAACGC